AATCATCATAACTCTGAAGATAATCATTTTTTTTAATTTTTTTTTTCAAATTTATAATCAATATACATAACTTGATAAATACAAACACCAAAATAGGCTCTATTTAGTTCCCCTTTAAAGAGAACATGGCCTTTTGACCTTTACGTTTTAAGTTTTTTATGGCTTCTTTGAATTTCCCATTTGGGCTTAAAGTGATACCAAGATAATTGATTATTTTAACAATATTAATTTCTTTGCTTTCATAGAAAAATACGTTATCTTCTAATAGTTTGTTCGATTTGTTGAAAACCATAATTTTAGTTTTTTCTGTGTTGACTGATAGTCCCCATTGTTTTGGATAAGTTATCTAAACAATTTTGTAAGCCGGTCTTATTTTCTGATAAAATCACTATATCATCGGCAAATAGAAGACTGCTAATTTTACTATCTTTCAAAGTAGGAGGGTAACATGTCGGTGAGTCAAAGATTCTTGGAATGTCGTTAATAAACAGGTTGAATAGTGTAGGACTCAGGTTACAACCTTGTTTTACTCCTACTTTTGATGTAAAAGATGTTGTCAGCCCCCCACCAACTTTGACTTTGTAATTCACTTTACTATACAGTCAAACTTCGTTAGTGCGAATATCAAGGTCCTGGGTGAATATATTTGTTATAACCAGTGTTCGTAATAACCAATTGCCACTTGAGGGCGCTTTACAGAAACAAACTAATTACCATACATCAGGGTAAACAAAACTATGGCGCCACTTTAAACACTAGACCCAACATTAAAAACACACAAATAGTATTGAAATAAACGTTGTCATGTTTATTAAAATAATATTAAAATGGAAAATACAAATATACTGTTCATTATTCAAAGTACATGTATAAATAAATGAATAAAGAAATTCTTAGTACGTCCATGCTGGATCGACTGAGTTTGTCATGTATGCATACACAAACACACGTGGTACTCATTGTATTCTTTTCATTATTTCTCAGTCATAAAAAATAAAATTCACATTGCACCCATTACATTTGTAGTATGGTAAAAAAAATCTGTAATGTAAAGTGTTCGCTATTAACATGGATGGCTATTTTGAAAAGTCGGTAATTTTGGTTTGACGATGACCGGAACAAATCGATGTGAACAGCATGTCCTCGATAGTTGAAAGTTGTGGAAAAATCAAAGTTTCAACAATTTCAAGGACTGAAGATAAGTACGTAATTTTACTATGCAATCTATAGCTTCTGACGGTGAAGGCAGTTCGATGTCAACAGGAATGTCTGGGCTGACATTTTCGACGTCGTCTTCATCGGCCACAGCGTTTTGTTCCAAAATGCATCGTCTGATGGAGATTAATAAACACCAGTTTCGTCGTCTGCGCAGACAAAATCCGAAAATGTAATCTCTGGGAATTTGATATGATGGGCTAAATTGTCGCATAAACATTCAACATCATTGGTGTTATCGGCCGTAATGTCTCCACAATCGGCAATGCTGACTTCCTGTTCCACGTCGGGATTTGGTGGATGTACAAACGACACCTTTCTGAAGCAGTTGGCAATGGTGGTATCGGTAACTTTGTGCCAGGACGAATGAAGCATGTCGATCGCATCTTTGACATTGATCGTGGGTAGGGTTTCACCTGAATCAAGATTCACCAACATTCTCTGAACTACTCGTTGCCGGTAAAAACACTTGAAATTTCTAATCACGCCCTGATCCATCGGTTGCAGCTTCGAAGTTGTATTTGGCGGGAGAAAGACGAGTTTGATGGCTTTGAGGTTTTTGACAGCTGGATGGGCGGGACCAGTTGTCGACGAACATGAGAATTTTTCTTTTCTGGCGTACTTCTTGACCAGTTTGTGTAGCCATTCGATGAACAAATCGCTGACCATTCATGCTTTTTTGTTTGCCTTGTAATCGACGGGTGGGGATTTCATGTTTTTGAAACATCTTGGGTTTTTTGATTTTCCGATGACCAGTGGCTTGAGTTTTTCAGATCCATCCATATTTGCGCAAAGCATCACAGTCAATCTTTCTTTACTTGTCCTTCCTCCAGAGCATACGTCATTCTTGAATGATAATGTCTTATCGGGCATCAGGCGGAAAAATAACCCAGTTTCATCGGCATTAAAAATATCTCTGGGAGCGTAGCCATCGATGAGTCCGGGTAATGTTAACGTTACCCAGTCATCAACCATGACATCGCTGACAGAAGCAGCTTCACCGCACATGGATTTGAACGTGATACCGTGTCGGGATTTGAATCTCTCCAGCCAGCCATTACTGGCTTTGAATTCGACATGATTCATTTTCTGTCCTAAATCTTCGACCTTTGCCTGGAGGATAGGACCGCTGATTGGGACATTCATAGAAAGGGGCACTGGTAAATCATTTCAGCAATGCCTGCTCAACATCGTCGACTGCTGAAAACCGCATTCGCTTCCGGCACAGCTCAATTTTGTTGTGTTCGAACATCTTCAAAACATAATTTTTTTTCTTTAAAATCGTTGACAGTGTACTGGGTTTAACATCAAATTTTCGACAGA